GGAGTAGAGACAGAAGCCTGCTCCTGTCAACACAGTTAAAAGCATTAATATAGTCGAGGAAACACACACGAAAAGCCCTGCCGTGCATGTCTAGGGATCGTAAAACTGAGTTTACCAAATGAGCGAGAGCATCTAAGATAGAACGTTGTTTGCGATAAGCTAATTGGTTTTCATCTAGCTGCTCAGTATTGGAAATAATGTTACTGAGCTTAAACTTTTCGAAAATTTTTAGTAAAATAGAAGTGCAGGTGACTGGTCGTAGTTTGCCAGCTTCTTTTTTGGGGACTGGTGTGATGTGCACAGGTCTCCAGCAGTCGACAATTTTTCGTTCCTCGAAGCAGCGGTTGAAGATACCGGCAAGTGGCTCCACCAGATAATACGCACATTCCCTGAGGACGACTGGACACAATCCGTCAGGACCGGAAGATTTTGATATTTTTAGGCACTTCAGCGGTGCACGCACCTGATTAGATTTGACACGTGAAATTTCACGATGGTCAACTGATTGGAAATAAGGATGCGATACTTCAGTTTCAGTCGACGTGGAAAACATGCAGTTGAGTTCATCTGCTGTGGGTTGGGGCCCGCGTAGTCTGATTTTCGTGCCACAACTTTTTTTTCATAGCGCTTCAGATTTGCTTGTAATTTCGGTCTCCAATAAGGGTTTCAGTATAGAGTTTGTCAAGATTTTGAATCTCATTCTTGATGAGCACTGACGTTCGTTTAACTAAAGGTCGATCATGGTTTTTATATGCCCATTCCTTGGTTCTTCTGAGGGTTTTCAAAGTGGGAGAAGAAAATCTGGCGGGACTGATGTGTATAGGGGATATGGGGCAGCAGATGTCAAAACAGAAGTTCAAATAGTTCGTGAGATGTTCACACTCGATCGAGACACTGGGATCAAAGAACTGATCGGAATTTGTACTAAAGACCATTTCTCTCAGTGATGCCAAGTGGACCGGGTCACGCAACCTATTAAAAATCTCGCTAGATGTATGTGTCGGCGTGCTATGATGTTTCTTTGAATAGACTTTTGGTGAAACATTGATGATACAATGATCGGAGTTTGCCAGAGGGACTTTTCTTCGCACAGCAAACAGGTCAAGATCGTTCGAAAGCATAAGATCAAGCCGCGCGTTTCCTCTTGTGGAGAAATTTGCAATATTGTGGAGAGAGAGACATGTCAAGAAATGAATATCTGCATGATTGAAATCGCCACTAACAATAAAATGAGAGTGTTTCGCGTAGTTAGAAAGTTCGGATATAAATACATCAGCAAACGTCTGTACATCAGAAGTTGCACTGGAAGGTAAAGGTATGTAAATGTTTGATGCCACAATGGAACGATATTTACTAAGGAAACGGGGTTTACATTCAACCGAAAGACATGAGATATATCCTACGCTGTAAGTGAAGATGATCTTTGTAGATATACACCAAGACGATTTGGTGTAGGTTACTAGACCACCGCCTCGATTTCGCAGTGAACAGTCTCTATCCAAACGATGCATATCAAATAGATCCAGCTCAACCAAAGAATCGCTGATGTCAGGATGCAACCACGTTTCTTGTAGCATAACTATCCCCAATGCATGATATTTTTTCGTCCTTATCAGTTTTGTGAAGTCGCTCATTTTGCCAAATAGTGATCGTACGTTTGATGAACAAATGCCAGGGATAGACATTTTCTGAGGTTTTTGTGTTACGTAAGGCCTTTTGCCAGCCTGCTCGGTGTTTTCTGAGGAAACCTGATCTAGACGGTCTACATCTTTTGTATCTATTTTAACTTGACGACTGAACTGATAGAGAATGCCACTCTCGCGCGATAACATAATGTTGCAAATTCTTTAAAGATTCCGGGGCGTACGTAATCATGAAAGCGATGAAA